TAGTAGTAGTAGTCGTCGTAGTAGTAGTAGTAGTTGTCGCCGTGGTAGTCGTAGCTGTAGTCGTAGTAGTAGGAGTCGTAGTAGTAGTAGTAGTAGTAGTAGGAGTGGCAGTAGCAGGAGTAGTATTGATAGTTGCAGTAGTAGCTTAGTAGTAGTACTAGTAGTAGTTTGAATAGTCGTAGCAGGTTTAGTAGTCGTCGTAGTAGTAGTAGTTGTGATAGTAGTAGTAGTAGTAGTAGTAGTAGTAGCAGTAGTAGTAGTAGTAGTACCAGTCGTAGTAGTAGTAGTAGTAGTAGTAGTAGTAGTAGTAGTAGTAGTTAGTAGTAGTAGAAGTCGTAGTCGTAGTAGTAGTAGGAGTCGTAGTAAACGTACCTTCCAGTCGTAGTAGTGTAGTAGTAGCAGTAGTAGTAGTTATAGTAGGGTAGTGGAAGTAGTCGTTAGTAGTAAGTAGTCGTAGTAGTAGTAGTAGTAGTAGTAGTAATAGTAGTAATTAGTAGTAGTAGTTGTAGTAGTAGTAGTACCCGTCGTCGTGGTAGTAGTAGTTAGTAGTAGTCGCCGTCGTACTAGTAGTGGTAGTCGTAGTCGTCGTAGTTCCTCGGTTGTAGTTAGTAGTCGTAGCAGCAACCTTTTTTTAGGGTAGTGGTAATCAGTAGTGGTAGTCGTAGTAGTAGTAGTAGTAGTAGTCGTAGTAGTAGTAGTAAAGTAGTCGTAGTAGTAGTCGTAGTAGTGGTGGTGGTGGTAGTAGTCGTAGTAGTAGGAAGAGTAGTCGCAGTCGTAGACCCCGGGGGGTAGTCGTAGCCGTTGTGGTAGTAGTAGTAGTAGTAGTAGTAGTAGTAGTAGCAGTAGTACTAGTAGTAGTAGTAGTAGTATAGTAGTAGTAGTAGTAGTAGTAGTAGTCGTAGTAGTAGTAGTAGTAGTAGTAGTAGTAGTAGTCGTAGTAGTAGTAACAGTAGTAGTAGTAGTAGTCGTGGTAGTAGTAGTAGTAGTAGTAGTCGTAGTAGTGGTAGTGGTAGTGGTAGTGGTAGTGGTAGTGGTAGTGGTAGTGGCAGTGTCGTGGTAGTGGTGTTTGTCGTAGTAGTAGTAGTATGAGCAGTGGTAGTAGCCGTAGTAGTAGTAGTAGTAGTAGTAGTCGTAGTCGTAGTAGTAGTAGTAGTAGTAGTAGTAGTAGTAGTAGTAGTCGTAGTAGTCGTAGTAGTCGTAGTAGTAGTAGTGTAGTAAGTCTTAGTATGTACGATCTTTTTTTTAGATGTTTTTAGTTTTTTTTTTAGTACTAGCCTTAGTAAGCGTAGTAGTAGTAGTAGTAGTCG